ATATGAAACTCATTTTACTATTCGGCTGAGGTAAAGTTCTGGGTACTTTTATTCCCTCATTAGTTTTTAAGAGTTTCCCTCCTGACATTTGGTGGATTATAAGTACAAACAGATCTATGCTAAGGTGCACTACATGATTCCTTTGCTCCACTCAGTAATGGAAACGCCTCTTCTTCCTCGTGAGTCTGGCCGGTTCGTAGCAGAGCGGAGTCAGGACGTGTTTGTGGAGGAGGAGGGAGTGCAGAAGGCGGCTGAGATGCTCTACTCTCTCAGACACAGCGACAGTCTGACTGCCAGTGGCTGGAAAAAGGCGAATCCACTGGCCCCGGCACCATCTTCTGACCAGGGGAGTTTCTCAACAACTGCAGCCTCCCAGAGTGCTCGATAAGTTTTCACTTCATACATAATAAGTGAAAAACAGTATATATGTACGTGTGTGTTCAATGAAAAGGATTCAGAAACAGTAATTCACTGATGTTCAGTGGAGTGGGTGTCGGTATGTGATAAACCTTCAGACTCAGACATGGAGAGGGACGACAAAGAATGCATGAATGAATGAAAATATGGACAAGAAAGAAAGAAACACACAAGCTCAAGAAACTTCAGTTGGTTTCTGGTAGTTAATGTCTCGCTTGTAGCCGTATGATTGTTTCTTTTGACATTTAAAAGTAGATCATACAAGTCAGTCGATTCATCATTTATATTTATATATAAATATATATACATCTTATGAATGTATATTCAGGTTTAGAAAGCTGGCCAGAGATATGAAGGGGTCACATGTGGCTTTACGACATTGTGCCATTTTTCACTGATTTATGATCTTTAAAAAAACAAGCAGATTAATCAATTTCACAAAACAAAGCAGAGGAACCATTGCATTAAAGTCAATTGCATGAAAGTACATGTATTGTGTCTTTTTACACATTAGTCTTCATGTCTCTCACTTAATAACCTTTGTGTTGGAACTCTTCAGGCCTTGAACTGGGTGTTTGTTGTCGACACCATGAACTTCTCCTTCTGGCCAGATGAAGAAACTCAGCAGTGTGAGGTGACTTATAAAGGGACCACGTACACAGGCTACATGACACTTTGTGCTGCCATCACCAGAGCCATGGAAGAAGGTGAGAGCGTGTGGAACACCTCACTGGATGAGGGATGTAAGGACACCCAGAATTTAGTTTGTTCTTAGACAAACGTGAAGTCACAGTTGAAATTCTTTCAGGTTAACTCCTTAACAGACCAGACACAGGTTAGTGTTCTTCAAACCTTTTGATTACAGTCATAGCCTCCGTCTCTTTTGAAAATATCTGTTTTTCAGACATGAACTCCAGAAGCTTGGGTTCGGACAGTTTCTGGAGTTTGGCTTTTACATATAGGAACACCAGGAGATTGTCCAGGTCAGGCACGTTCACAACAGGAAAATATCCAAAACATTCAGGAAAGGGAGGGCAGCTGGGTAGATCATGCAGGAGGCAGGACATGACATAGGTTCCACTGCTGGAATCATGTTTTTGTCAGTTCGTCAGTTCCAATCGCCAAAAGCTCTAGAATCCCGTATTTACTTTTGCGTCTGTCACATGTTAGAAACACATACTTTTCAGACATTGTTCTGATTCATTCTCACATGGGCTCACTCTGACATTGTCTGGACATTTCACTTAAGGGCCGGTGGGAAAAGTTCAGGAAAATGTCCGGAGCTGGAGTTCAGTGAATGTCTGAAAGCAGCTAATTTAACAACCAAAAGTCAGGGAGGTCCAAGAGATACTGAATCATTTGATCAGATTTTTAGTAATAAAGCATGTTTCAGACAGACAAAATGTAACACAAAGTGCTTCACATAAAAACAACCCCCCCACCAAACTACAAACAAGCAAGGGATTAATAAAGCACACAAAGACACAATCAGTAAAAACAGAAACTGAGGAGCTGAGGAAACACTATCCCACCAATGTTGAGGACTTGTACAAGTGCCCATAAGGAGCTGCCCGCACCACTTGAAGACGCCCCCATCCATCCTAGAGGCTCCTCCAATTCCAATGAGGAAACACTAGAGGCAGAATAAAATTTAAAAAACATCAAAAAAGGAAGTTACAGACGCATTGTACAAATTTAAGGATTTTTGTTTGTCTTTGGCTTGAACCAGTTTTGTGTGAACATCTGTTATATTGCTGTTTCGATCTCAAAATGCTTTGCATTGAGAGAATTGAGACATTTTCACACAATGTGTAGTTTTGAAGGGATGAGACGACCTGTCTGACCAGGCTATGAATAACGCACATCATTTTGTTTATAGTACTTTGGTTTATTCGGCACATGTGGCAGAGCAGAGGGTCAGGGTTGAGGTGATCCATCTTAGCTGCTACTAACATTTGTGGAGCAACTTTTCATGAAAACGTCACAGACTAGAAAGCAGCTTCCTCAGTGAATAAACAAACATGCTGGGTGATAGAGATGTCAGAGTGATGAAGAAAAGGCAGGGCCATTCTCTCACAGTGAAACACGACATCTTTACCTTTTTTCACAGGGTGGTTTATCCTCTATGTCAGAAGCTTTGTCCCTGGAGGAAAAAAAGATGTATACTCAAACCTCCTCTGATGTTTTTTCCTCTGAGCTGTTGTTTCGCGCTGTTGTTTCGCGCTGCTGTAGCCACTTGTTGTGCACACACCCTTTACTTGAACTTGGACTGCTTGGAAATCGCTTGCAGCTCTGCGTGCATCAGTCATAATGAGCGTGAATGACTCCGGATATGAATCAATTATGTCTCATATGGAACAGGGCTCTCACTGTGTGGTAGCTGTGGCCTTTGTAATTACAAGCGACTCTCCCAGAATAGCACAGGTTGCTTTGCTACAGGGGAGGGGGATCTGGAGATCAGAACAAATTATGTCTTTTGTGAGAAATGGTTATTGTGGAGTTATATGTTATTATAGCACACTATAACTTCATAATTTAGCAGCTTCCTCTCCACTAGTTCCTGTCCAAAGATAAATCCACCCATGGGGTTCTCTTGTCCTCCCTCTGCAGGTTTACCCATCACCGATCCAAAGTACTTCTCCCAGATGAGCGTGGAGGAGCTCGGACACATCCTTCGATCAGACAATGACACGCCCATGCCGATGCTGCAGGCCCGCCACAAGGTTATCACCATAATGTCCCATAACCACCAGGGAAACTGGGGATGTAATGATACACATCAGTTATCTTTCTCTGGTATCACAGTTTGTTTCATCTTCAGCGCCGTGATGAAGATGATGTCTCACGTCGTGCTTTGCTTTTTCTGCACTCCGTTTAAAATGGCACAAAAACAACATGTGACTGCTCTGAATGCACAGCTGTCTCTTTAATTTACTGCACAAAACTAAAGCAGTTATTTTCAGCCGAGAGAAAAACAGATGTGGTGAGAAAAACAGGATGCATCATCTCATCTCTCTAATCAATAGAATGAAAATAGTTGGTACATTGAATAGAAAACTAACGCACTGTCAAATTCCTGCATGGTAAGTTAAGTGTCTGAGATTGTATTGTCTCATGTCCTGTTGTATTCATGTGGCAGCTGTGTACACATGGATTTTTATGTTCATCCCAGATTAAATTATTTCATTTCAGATTTGCTCATGTTTTTGGACAGATTTTACAGAGATGATATTACACAGTTACCTCAACAAGCGTAAATGAGAATCTTACTCTCCTTCTCTTAATTGTTGTCAAATGTGAACTGACTGTGTCTAACCAGGTGCTGACGGAAGGCGGCCTCGTGTTGCTGGAACATGGCGGAAGTTTCCGCAGTTTTATCAGCAAAGCCGGGAACGACGCCCGCAAGATGGTGGAGCTCATAGTGCAGAAGATTCCTTCCTACAAGGACGAAGCTACATATGAGGTCAGAGTCATATTGCATTTTCATGCACACTTGTGGAACGTGTAATGTTTGTGAATGTGCAGAAAAAAATATTTGCCAGAGAAATTCTCTTGCAAAAATGCAAATTTAATGCAGGTACCATATTCATGTTTTCAGAACTTTTGGTCTTGTTGACTTGTGATAACCACGTCACAGACAAGACACTGAATTATTGAAACATTCATCGTATGTGCTATATATGGCCGAGTGCATTTGGAAACATTTTCTTTGATGACTTTATAATTTTATTTTACACATTTAATAAATGTACTGTACCATTGTAACACTTAACACTGAAATCAAGGTTAAAAAACAGCCTATCCCACAATGTTAATGAAAGTAAAAAAATAACCCTGGATCTGCCTTCTGATCCGGATCTGCACCAAAATTGAATGTGCGCCTCCCTGACCCATCCCACATCCTTCCACCAAGTTTCATGGAAATTCGTTTTGTTGTTTTTGTGGAATCTTGCAAAAACATACAAGCCGAACAGCAAATAGATGGAAAGGAAGTGTATGTGATCTGAGATAAACATATGGATTTGGAGATGATATATGTTGATGTTAGAGTTCCACCTCCTGGCCAAAGACAATATGGCAATATTTCTATGCTTAATACAGTCAGTGAAGGAGATAATTATAATATGAGCTCACACATTGTTACAGATATATTATCTTTGTGTAAGCACATCTGCCTGGTTATAAACAACAATGATTTAAGAACAAATAAACAGAGGTATGATACTTATTGCCTTGTGTGTTGTAGGGCAAGAGAATCTCACTGTACAAGCGAGCCCAGATCCTGGTGGCCGATTTCTGGGGTGTGATGGAGGCCAGAGGAGAAGGAGACATCATCAGCATGGACTGGCTCACCATGTTTGCAGACTACAGGGTCCCGCAGGCTCTCGTCTACCTTGGAGTGCTACGCTACTCTGACACGCTGATGCAGATGCTGAAGAAAGGTGAGACAGAAAAGGAGTGTTTGTGAAGATACTTATTAAATAGTACGATATAATCACTCTGGCTTTTCTTACAGGTGAGCTGCTGTGTTCAGGGGACAGGAGGGAGGTAGAGATCCGGGGTTGTTCGATTTGGTCCGTGGAGCTGATCAAAGATCGACTTTGCAAACTGGTGCAGGAGCGAGACGGACAGACATGTAACATCAACTCCGCAATCATAGACTTCTACCTCTGGCCTTACGCTAAACAGCATCATAAAGAGATGGCCCACATTCCAATACACCACACACGCTGTATTTACTACTGATGAGCTGTCTGGCAGCCGCTCATACAGGACGCTCCACTTCCTCAGTGTTTAGCCTTGGCACTGGTGCCTCTCCCTGGGATAAAGCCAAGCATGTTCCTGTGCCAGATATACATACTAATGGGCTTCTCTCAATCTGTAATGAAAACAGGTGGGAAGCTTTAATGTAGCTTGTTTGTCTGTGTGGGTTGTAGCACCGTTGCCCATTTACAGTCAATTAAAATGTTTACTGTTAATGAGATGGAACATTTTCTAGCAAGTGAGATCAGTACGCATACTGTACATCTGCTGTTATTTCAACCAACACTGAAAATAAAACATTTTGATTAAATATGCTTTTTTACTGTTCAAGTGTTGCAATAAAAGCTAAATTTCTGTGGATCATATTTCTGCATTGTCCACCTAAAGCAAGAAACCAACATTCAAGAATTATATCATATATTTTATACATTTACCAGATCATACTAAATCTTGTAAAATTGTCCCTTGATTATAGTTGTTTGGAATTGTCACACAGAAATACTTTGAATGTTAAGAAGAAATACATTATTTGTACTAAATCTGTACAAAATCTTAAAAGTTGTAATTAAATATTTTTTTTGAATTATCCAAATCATATGGAAACATCCAGCATTTGGACAGGTGGGGAGGAAGATACATTTACAATGAATATATCAGTAATATGCAACTTGACATCAGGTGGATTTCAACTGATATATAATATATATACGGACAGAAGTGCAATAGATGCCATGTGTAACTGAGGACATCAGGAAAATAAGAGTATTTTTTTTTTTACAATACTGATTAGAGGAAGACAGTTTGTAACACAATACTTAAGCCCTTTCAGAAGAGGGCGCTGTTGCGTTCACGGACCACTAGTTCCTCCTTCTCTGACGCTCTTGAACGCCTCCTCTGCTCTCGTCCACTGTGGCGGCGGCGGTTTCCTTGGCAACCGACAAACACTTGTTGACAACTCGTCGATCAGCGTCTTTCTGATAAAACTCCATTATCACACTTTACCGTCAGCCCCCCGCCCCCCCACCCCCGTGGCTTCACCTCACCGTCATGAGCGAGGTGTGTGTCCGGGTGGCTCTGCGTGTCCGGCCGCTGCTTTCCCGAGAACTCCTCCACGACCACCGGGTATGTGTGCAGATAGTACCGGGCTGCGATCAGGTCCTAGTCGGCTCCGACCGACTCTTCTCCTTCGACCACGCGTTCGGACCCACGGCCACCCAGGATGAGGTGTACGACTCCTGCGTCCAGCCGCTGGTCGAGTCCGTGCTCCGGGGCCACAACGCCACCGTGTTCTTCTACGGACAGACCGGCTCAGGGAAGACGTACACGTTCGGAGGAAGGAAGCTGGGTAAGTTTCACTGAGAAGCTCCTCAGCCTCCTTTAGACTCAGTGTCCTAGTTACTGCTGCAGCCATCGTGAGAACAGGCAGTTATTTACCTCTGAAACTCTAAAAGTGTTTTGTGGACTCTCACACTTCACCCACCCCTCCACCGTGGTGAGTAGATAATGACTACATTTTCATTTTGGGGTGAACTATCCCTTTAAGTTTGAGTCTATCGTCATATGGGGACAACAGAGAATCCATCTGATGAGGGAGCTGAACTCTTTCAATGTCACTGACTGTCATTTTAAGTGACTTTTATTGCAAATTTTTCTTTTATCGGTTGGCTCAATGGACTATCCTTTAAAAACAGTCTGGATAGCACTGCCAAGGTCTGCTCCAAGATCACTGGAGTCAACCAAGCTCACTTTCCCCTCTGAGAATCAGCTGGAGAAGAAGTCAACGAATCTCACCAGCCAACCTGGTCATGTTTTGTCTCATGAGATCATGTGAAATGTGTACACATTTATTCTAATTATTAGTTTTCTTTCTTCCTCTGACCTTAAATTAATGTAATTAGTTATTTTAAGTGGTTATCCATACCAACCATACAATTGACTTCTTATCCATACTACGTTTAATCACTATTTAATTAGAGTTGCTGTTGGAGTGATAGTGGAAATTTCTTAAACAGAAAATTATAGTATATATTTGTTTTTGTCTTTTTGTTTTGCCCCTGTTGGTTTTTGTTTAGATTTCATACCTTTTGTATTATAACTTTAAAACAAATTAATTTTTATTCTGTGTGGTGTTAAAAATGTCTTAAATTCAACTTAAAGTCACAGATGAGATTTAAAATTTTCAGTCTGGTCTTTGCAACGTGTACTTTATTAGTGTGTCTCTTCTGTCTAAAACCTCTCTCAGATGAGGAAGGGGGAGTCATTGACCGTGTGGCCGAGAATGTGTTCTCGTTGTTGGGGGAGAAGAAGGAGAACAATGATGGAGTGGAGGCCACAGTGCGCATCTCATATTTGGAGCTGTACCTGGAGGAGTTGCGAGACTTGCTGGAGAGTCCTAACACTCACAAAGAGCTTCATATCAGGGAGAACAACAAGGGAAACACAGGTAATGCAAACATCTTTCTGATAATTGTGAACAAATATGAATTTATTTTTCCATGTTTGCATGTGAGGGAACAAGCTCATGGGACATAGGAAATATATTTTCAGGCCTCACAAAATGCCTCACTTCAGAAGACGATCACTGAACTTCCATAAGGTTGGCTGGACATGCAAGACACAAATTTAAAATTTATTTGTAAATCATAGACCAACGTATTGTAGCTTTTGTATTTGTTTTTCGAAAATGACTTTTGAGGATTTCTTATAACAAGTGTAGACACAATGTTCGACTTGGGGGAAATTAATGTGTAAAAGCATTCAGAATAATCACTGTGTGGTTCTATGTGTTTTCAGTGGTGGTAGGAGCCAAAGAAGTAGTTGTCACCTCAGCAGAGGAGCTACTCACTGTTCTAGAGACTGGTAATGCTCTGCGCCACATCAAAACCACAGGTATGAATGAGCACTCCAGTCGCTCTCACACCATCCTCACCCTTCAAATCGTCCAATGTAGCCACATCAACAATCCCTCCTTGAAGACTTCCTGCTTCTCCAAACTCTGTCTGGTCGACCTGGCGGGCTCAGAGCGTGCTGGAAAAACAGGCAACGAGGGCTCACTGCTCAAAGAGTCTGCTCATATCAACACGGGCCTGCTCGCACTGGGCAACGTTATCCGTGCCCTGTATAACCGTGCTCGGAACAACTGCAACAGCACACACATACCGTACCGTGATGCCAAGATCACCCGTCTCCTCCAGGATTCACTGGGAGGCACTGCCCAAACAGTGATGGTGGCATGTGTGAGCCCCTCTCACCACAATATAGCTGAGACTGTGGGTGTTTTGCAGTTTGCATCCAAGGCTCGTCACATCCGCAACTGTCTGACAGCCACACCTACTCGCACTGAGGTTAAATTATGTCCTACAACCTGGGACCCTGGCGAGGTTCGACGAGGGGAGCTGGAGTATGAAGTTCGTACACTGGGAGAGCTGCTGAAGGAGAAGGAGCGAGAGATTGAGATGCAGAGGACAGATGGAAGAGCTGCTGAGGAGAAGAGCATCAGAAAGTCAAGCCAGATGAGGTTGTCTGAGCGAGATCAGAAGATGAACCCGTACCACCTCCTAACACAGGAAGCTGCAGCTCTGCTTGCAGACCTCTCCGGTCCGTTTCTGAGCCACTCATTCAGGGGACAGCTGCAGGATTGGCAGGACAGACTGGCAGTTGTTGCTAAGGCACATCCCATCGATGATGAGGTTAGAGATTCAGAGGGGGATGGAGACGAGGCAGACCATGTCACAATATTACAGCTCAGACAAGATCTCCATGGATCCCAGGTAATTATATAAAAGTTAAAAAAAGAAACATCACACGGACATCAGTGCACTAATGTTTTTTTATATAACAACTAATGAGAGCTGGTCCATATAATATTTAGGAAAAGGTTGCAGGGAATGAATATTTTTTTTTGTTCCAACTAAACAGATTTTACAACACATTGGGCTCTATTTAAATAGCATAGTTTTGTTTTTTTAAAACAGACTGGGTGCATATTGTTTATCAATCTTTTTCATTTATCGGTTAAATTGCCAATCGTATATCATTTAAAAGAAGTGCCAGTCACAGAGTTGTATTATGGAAATACTTCTCTGTGTAGGAAACCAGGGTTTTCTAGATGGTTTAAAGCGCTGGTGTAACTGATAACATGAGTAACGTCTGTGTCCCATTTAGACGTGTCACCCTAATCAGGGCCCTACTACTACCTATGCTGGATTTCAAGCCCATCTGAACAGAATACAGCCACTGTGCTTTTCATTATGTCAAGTTAAAGTTATATATCTTTTAATCCCTGAGAGCCCATGTTGATGAGATCATGTGAACAAACAGTACATCCGTAAGATATATGGCCAAAGAAGCAATGCTGACTTAAAATTAAAGTGGGCTACAATCAATTATATCCATTAATCAAGGTAAAAAATAAGTCCTATTTTACTCTCTTACCTTTAGGAAGCTCTCAACATAGCAGAGCAGCTACTGGAGCAGAAAGATGCAGAACTGAGACAGGTACAAAAAGATTTTGAGAAACTTCTTCACAAGAGTAAAACCTACCTGCAAGCCCTGGAGGAAGAAAAGGAACGTAATCGTTTACAGGTGAGAAGTCAGATTCACCTGGTGAGTAGAGAAGGACACTGCATTCATCATCGAAGGCTAACTGCAAATAAAAGTTCCAAAGTGTCCTAGAATTAATGACAATGGTTAAATGCATGTGTGTATGAATGCTTTCAGATTGAACACCTTGTGGATCAGCAGATTCTCATCAATGGCCTTCGCAGCAACATCATGACCTCTCAAGTTACAATCTCTGGGGCAGCAGTGGAAGCAGTGGCTTCTGGGAACTCAGACAAGAGGCCCCATTCCGTCCCTCTGATGAGACACAGCTGTGGACCCCAGTCACCCAGAATGGTAGGTTTAGCTGCTCTGTTGTTTTGTGTGTGTAGATGTTTGTGCATATTGACATTCAGGGTTACCACGTGTGCAGCCACACACTCTGTTGCTCATGGCTCTGTTGTGCATGTTTCTGACTGAATGCATGTATTGTTGTAGATTCACACCAGTTCCACAGCGAATTCGCTGGAGAGGGTGATGGCCGCCTTTAAGGTGCGTGGACATCTCCTCCTGGCTAAGCTTGATGAAAAGGAAGAGGTGCGCTGTCCATTCATTAAACAGACAGAGAGCAAAGACAGCGTTCAAGAGACAGAGGAGAAGGAGGGGGAGGAGGAGGAGGACTGGGAAGAGGACGACTTTGGGGGCAAAATGGCATTTCGGTGAGTGTTGCATAAAACAAGAAGTCTGGTTCTTTCTGTGTGAACACACCAGTGATTACAAGATTCTATGAAAGTTGTGCAATAAAAAAACAAGTACTTAATTACCAAATTCATGTTGAATGAAACGGTGAGATAACACTTTTGTTTTTCACTTGCTCTTGCTCTATAAAGCAATGAGCATAAGCACTCTGGGGGGGGGGTGTTGGCGGTACTGCAGTGGCATCATCTTGGTGTCATGGATGACATTGTTTTGTGCTGTCAGTCACTTGCCTGTTCAGACAAGGTCAACATCGTCCATGTCACTTTAGCTGCTGCACCTCAGTTAACCACTCAACAATCACACGAACACTGAACTTAAAATGTTTAAGTAGTAGAAACACTGGCAGGATAAGCAATGCTAGGATGTAAAGTACGTTTTTAAGGTGTAACATTATTTTCCCTATGACCCCGTTTCCTTGTGTACTGCAGGTGTTGTGCTGCACGCTGTGTGCTACAGAAATAGAAAAAGTCCATAGATATCAATAATCTTTGATTCAGAAAGTCTGCTTTTTCTTTCTGTTTCTCAAGGCATTCTTTAAACCAAACATGGACCAACTCACAGATCAACAAAAATCCATTAGTGCAACAGTCTCAGCAAGTCACAGGTACACTTAAACTGTATCTGACTTTATTTCACAGTGTTTTGTTTCTTTGTCCTGTAAATTAGAATTTTATATCCAAGAAGCGGTTTCGCTTTTTAGAATAAGTTACTATTTCTTCACAGGGACTGAGGGAGACCTTGCCAAACTAAGCCATGTGAGGAAGAGAAGACTGAGAGTCAGTGTAACTCAGAGAAGGATCCAAGATCTGTCATTCACCATGGACATGGGAGTGGAGCTCATCAAAGAGCTGGACAAAACGGGTGTGGTGATGTCATTACTGTATATTCCTGTGTCTGTAAATTTTCTAGCACTAGAAGCCTTCAAGTGTGCATCAGAGCATTCCGAAAAGTATGGAATAACAGTGAAGCTGCAAGTCTTGTTCCTGTCAACCAGGGTCTCACTGAGGAAGGAAAAAGAAAAAATGCATATGAGGCAAACTACCTACTCATCTTGTTTTTTTTAACTGAAGCTCCATGCAACAACAGCACAACACCAGTGAATCAAAACAAAATAGCTTCATACCTCTGGCAGTGTATTTATTTGCATCTTCTATATACATGTGTGATTTTTCGTCCTGACAGACAAAGAGATCCAAGCAGCAGACAGACGTGTCAGACAGAGTCAAGATGGCAGAGAAGCCGGCATATTGGTAAAACCTTCCATGCAGAGCCGGCAGGTTCGATCACAGGTGTATCACAGCCTGCAACACATGAGACTGCAGAGAGAACAGCTTCAGGCCAGCCTCAGACAGCAGAGACAGACGGCTAACAACAACACAGAGCCTGGACAAAGTGGGGTTAGTTGCACAAATTTTAGGAACATCAAACATGTTGTCTAGGTGATGCAACAGGAAACGTCTTGTGTAAAGCTAAATGCCAGTTTGGTTGATACAAACTTTTTTAGTTGATGGGACAAAAATTTGTTTTTGTGTATGTGATCACTGTAGTATCTATTCACCAGCCAGTTAAGGTAGTTAATATTCTGGAGAGTTAATGATTGATCCACACTGAAAGAGATTGACGTTTAGGTTTAATGTCACAAATAAAAAAAACAACAAAATCCTAATATTGTTTTTTGTTAACAGGAGCAGACAAAAGGAGATCTGAGTGTTTGCACCAACTGTTTGATATAGAAGCAGAATACATTTTTAAAGTAAAATGTGTTTGTTTTTCACTCCAGAAATGTGTGTACAAACTCTCCTCACCGTGTCACTTGTTCTAGTTTCTAAATTTTTGTGTCAACGTCCTCCTCCTTTACCCTCTTTTGGCTCTTTATACACCTCCTCACACTCCTCCATACATCCTCGTCCTCACTGTAGACACATGGCAGCAGTTGGTGGGAGCAGCAGGAGGAGCTGGTGCTTCAGAATAGGGCAGAGCTGCAGGAGCTGGAAGAGGAGCAGAGGAAGAGAGAGGAGGTGATCCAGCGCAGAGAGGCCTGTCTGCAACAGAAAAAAAAACTGGAGCTCAAGATGCTGCGTGCCAGTAAGGTCAGTATGTGTGAAGGTTTTTTACATAATTCACCTACATGTCTGTTTATCCTTCGTTGGTATCTGGAAGTTTTTATTCATCTTTTTTCAGGCTCTGAGTCAGGACCTGCTGCGTGTGTCGGTGCAGTTGGAGTCTTTGGAGGAGAACTTGCAGAGCAGTGGCAATACAAGAATGCCTGCAGGAGTCACCACAGAGGAACTGGAGGAGGAGAGAGACATGCTTCAAATGAGAAAAGACACTCTGGAGGCACAGCTGATGGGAAACAGAGGCCTAACTGTGACGGTCAGAAACAAAGAAAACATATCTGATGTATTAAAGTAACCTGACTGATATGTGATTTCACAAGTTTTGGTTAATTAAAGCTCAACTAAATATCGGTGTGCACTTTGATTTTTTGTGGTGTCGTTATATAGGAGAGCCATTCCCTGCTCCAGCTGGAGGAAGCTTCTGAAGCTCTGGATGTAGCACTGGAGTTTAAAAACCACTTCATCCTGGACAAACAGAAGAAACTGTCCTCGTCGTATCAGTCACAAAGCACTGAACCTGCACAGCTCTGTGATGTCATCAGGAAGCTGAAGGAGCTCTCAATGCCCGAGGCTGCGGAGCTGCTCGTAAAATATTTCAAGAAGGTAAAATAAAAGCTTAATATTTAAAAGTAAATCCCATGTGTGCCAGGTGTCTGTGCCTTGCTAAAAACGTGTCTTTTAATTTGCAGAAAATGTATTCTACTCTGGTCCGATGAAAACTGAATACTTTATATATACAGTATATATATATATATATATTCCAGCTAAATACCAACACTCTGTAATTTACATACCATTGCTTTTCTCTCCAGGTGATATGATGTGAGTAAAAGAGGAGTCAGAAATACAGAACTATTTTTTAATGCTAAATCAATTACACTGCTCTGCCTCCCTAATGCTCCCCTCTCTGCCCTCCATCTTTCTTCTGATATAATTTTACCAACCTCTCACCAATAGGTTTATTTGAACAGTATCTTCATGATATTCTCCCATCCCACCTCTGCAGGTGTCAAAAGGGTTCAGCCAGTATCTATGTAATTACACTGTGTAATAATGTGTTCCTCTGCTGCGTTATCTCGCTCTCTCCCACTGTTATCATCCTCTTCAGGTTGTTGGTCTCCGTGAGACAGAGCTTCATTTGCATAAACGTTGTAGAGAGCTGGAGCTTCATGCTGCAGAACAAAAGGGGAAACTGAGGGAGATTGAGACCGCCATGCAGCATCTGGCCCTGGATGCAGATCGCAGGATCATACAGCTGCACAAAGATAACCAGAAACACATCCAGCTACTCCTGCAGGAACTTCAAAGTGAGGAAATATACCACAGTAAAGCACTTTGAATTGCTCTGTGGCTGAATGCTGCCATATAAGTTAATTTGCCATGATATTTGTGAAGAAATGTTTCATGAATATTGCTGTTTGTTTTTTCTCTCTCTCTGTGTGTGTGTGTGTGTGTGTGTGTGTGTGTGTGTGTGTGTGTGTGTGTGTGTGTGTGTGTGTGTGTGCGCGCGTGTGCGTGCGTGCGTGTAGAGGATAATTTAGGAGTGACACAACAGGCTCTCCAAGACAGACTGCAGCAGGTGGAGAAAGAACTGTTTTACTACAAAAGCTTGTCTCTTAATCTCAAAAAGAAGGTCAAAGAGCTTTTCAGTGGGGGCCCACATCTGGACAATCGGCCTTCACAAAAACCTGAGCACAAATTGCCTGAGGACAACCACGGACAAAGACGCACACAGCCTCTGGGGCAGAGTGAATGTGGGGAAAGGTTGGAGATGATACCAGTTCGTTTGAATCGTCGGGATGTGAGACAGATATTCCCAGCTGACCTGCAGATATCTGGTTCTGCCACAAGAAGGCGACAGCCTGCTGTGGAGACAATACTGGAGGACTCCTTAGAAAAGGCCAGACCTGCAGACAACACTACAACCTTCTGATAACCGTGTCTGTAGTCATAAAACTACTAGTCATAAAACTAGTCATAAAACTGCTGACCTTACAGTTATCAGCAACGCCACTGACTGGACTGATTACACCGCCTTTACAACCACTGTTTGTTAACAATACTTTCAGGGAAAACTTGTTCCACATGTTGTTAAATAGAGCCCCATGAGGAGAATGTCTATATTTTTCACCTTTAATCAAAAGCACTGATTAGCACTTAAAACGGCCGCTAATCCAATATGTTTACTGCACTACAACAGAAATGTTTCTTATGCACTTGATTCTTACTGTCTGTGCTACACTGTATGCTTGTATTATTTCTTGTATGTGTGGCTCTATTGCAGTAAAATATATTACACCAATGTGTGTTGCAGAACTCTTCTCATTCCACATGAATGATTTACCTAGTGTCCCAGCCCCTTGCTTAGAAACCACTGCAATAAACCACCCATCTGTATTAAGCAGCAAATGTGCAGCTTTCAATTTGTTCAAGTATAAACAGCAGAGTCATTTCATATAGTGTAGAGAGTCACAATCTTTGTATTTTTACTTTTGAACAACAGGAAGTTATTTATTATCAAAATGTTTACAGGTATTTTTAGATTCACTATATTCTATTCAGGGACATCTTGAGCTCAGATGCCAATTAATGTGCACAAAACCCTGTTTAGAAATCCTACATAATACATTGCGGATCTTGCCTGAGAATAATCACATTTCTACGTTGTCTACAATGTAAGTGTATTTTACGCATACATTTGATTTGCATGTTAGAATTCAAAGCAAACATAAAACACCGACAAATAATTCGTCGTGCTTTCATTTTCAAAAAGTGAATCAAATGCACGTTAGAAGTGGGGTTCAAAGTTGTTTTTACAGTATAATGGGTTTAAAAGACTGAATACTTGGAGGAGGGTAGATTCTACACACACTCTGATTGGGCGACCTTCTGTCAATCAAATCTGGTTCCACCAATCAGAACCCGAACCCTTTTTTTTTTTGTGGTCCTTTTTGGCAGCTCCGGGCTCCCGTAGTCAAACCGTCGCTGGCAGCAAAGCATCGGTTTAACGACAGTTCCGTCACGAACAGGTGAAAGTATTCTTCAGCAACTTTAATGTGAGTAACTGCATTTTAAAAACAAACCGGCGCGTGTGTCAGACACAGGATACTAACGTGAGCTCGTGTTTGTGTTTTTGACCGGCAGCCATGTCTACTTTTGTACTTGTTTAGAAGCTAACACAACCGGCTAAGCCCCCTTTCATAGTTAGCTAGGTTAACTCACGATGCTAGCTGCGTCTGTCACTACACTGTTAGCATCCCGTCCACTTCACAACACTTGATTCACTTATCGACACCATGTGTCTTTTGTTTTCTTCACAATCCGCTGATCTGAATGAAGCTGTTGACGCCACATTGAAAAGAGGTGGCACCGAGAAGCTAACTTGATGTTGTACAACTCATCTCCACTGATTTCTCATCTTCTATCACCAGTTTCCTCTTCAGCTATGGCATCGTCTGCTATGATCACCGTCCCCACCACGGCCTCCCGTTTCGCCCTGCTCCAGATAGACTCAGATTCGGACTCCGACACCTCCGAGCCGGGGAAGACCAACACCACCAGCACTAAAAGCGGACGGGACTCCTCCGGGAAGCCCCGACAAGCGAAGGCAGGAGCTGCCGGGGGGAAAGCGGCTCAAGGCAACGACAAGAAGAAAGACAAGAAGAAGAAGAGGAAGGAGCAGCAGCAGAGTGAAGCAAACGAGGTGAGTGACCAAAGCATCTGATGGACCTCAGCTCCATTAGTGTGTCTGTGCTGTGTCACCGCATCCTGCATGACGTCAGTGTGTGACAGACATGAAGAAGGATTTGGTTCCTGTTGTTTCACTTTACTTGAAATGAAACTGCAGAGGCTGGTGGAGGCAACACAGCATTACACTTGTTTTGTTTGGTTCCTCAGCTGGTCAGTACAAAACACAAATGTAAGATCAGGATTAGTTCTCCTGGATAAGACATGTCCATGAAATCTTCTCTTGAAATAAACTTAAATTAATGAAGAACCAAAGCCAAAATACCCATAATACTCAGATTTTAACTGAAGTAACTGTTGAACTGTTTAAATAAGTAACTGTTTGCTTTTGCACCAGTCAGATAATTCAGTGGGACCAAATATTATAGTTTCAGCATGCAAGGATTTTCTTACATTAATTTTACATTGTGATTGAAATGAGTTTCAGACTGTTGGTCTGAAAATCAATAATAAGCACTGAAAATCAGTGTAAGTTGCTCCCAAACTGAAAATAAACTGCGGCCCCCTTTTTACTTGTAAAAACCCCACTAACATCTGGCTTTTATCTGAGAATGGACAAAATGGTAATTCACTCTAATCACTCAGATCAGAAGTACTTTATTAATCCCTGTAGGGAAAATTTAAATGTCACAGAGCCCCCGAGAAAGAGGTGAAAGAGCAAAAGCAGGTATAAACATAGCAATATAAAAATGAAGTAAGGCTAAAAGAAATAAAAATAAACACCGAGTATGTATAGATTTACATGAGAAAAAAAAATTACTCTGCAGTAGTTTTATCGGCTGTGGCTTTGATCAGCATTGACGAAAACATGATACCTGTGTCACCACTAATTTCTTTATTTACTTTATTTTGGCAGTCTAGATGCTGACATTCATATTGCAACACCTGATGAAGGGTCTAACACTGCTACTGTTTATACACACAAATGCAGACAGCTTCAAAAGCTATCAACTGAACACAATAGTAGTTCATAACAGAGCAACAACGTCATATTAAATCTTATCTTTCTGTCATTCAGTTACGTAATCTGGCGTTCAAGAAGATTCCTCAAAAGTCCTGTGCCCCGCCTCCCTGTGTGACACTGTCAGGAATAGCCAGCGAGCTTCTCACCACTGAATCAGGCGACCACAGTATACCCTCAGGGGGATGGCAGCAGTGGAAGCAAAGGGATGAGCAGGTAAGACAGAACTACTACTCCCGTCATACATTTTTGAGTTAGTCAGGATAACCACAGAACCACTGACAAGGCCTTTTAGAAGCAACTCTTTTGAGTAGAGCTCAGACATCAGCAGTAGAGGAGTGTGTGCAGCAGTATGAGCCAGGAGCAGGATATTCTTCGAACAAATGTATTGATTTTAGATCCATTTACTAAACTTCTCTCTTCTTTCTTTCTCCTGTTCTTTACTGGATGGATTAAGGCTGAGTTTGTTACAGGCAATAGAAACAAGCAGATTCATGAAATTCATTATTTTCTCTTTCTTGGATATAACTGCATTCCGGGCAGATCTTCCTCAAGTGTTTGTTCTTATTCTCTCTCAGATAACCAGTGAACTTTATGAGGCAGACTTGGAAAAGGCTTTGATTCTCAGTAAACTGGAGTATGAACAACAGAAACAGGTACCTTGCTTGCATACACACACTTATAAAAGCAAAGAAGAGCTTTAAATATGCACTGACCAAGTCTTGCTTTGTCAAGATCCTGTTTCTGAAGTCCAATCGTAATGGAAAAAATCTAGTAAGCTCCAGGAAGAACGATCGGGAATCTCGCAAGTCTTAAGCAGAAGCAGTTTATTGACACTCAAAGCATTGAGGAGAGAAGAGTTAAGCAAGTTCACACTGTGTAATACTACCCTGTACTGAAGGCTGTCTTCTACAGGGTGTATTTAAAGTCAAAATGTCCTCACATGGCACAGACATACTCTGTAGATCTCAACTACCTCTGTCCCACTGAGACAGACACAGAGGCTGGCTGTTTGTTATGGCTGTCCACCTTTTCAGTAAGGTCAAAGCTATCCATGAGACAGACGGTGAACTATCTAACTTATCAGTAAGGTCAGAGCTATTCGAGAAACTATCAGGGAACTATCTTTCCATACGAGGGAAACTAAATGTGTGCACATCAAGGCAAATTGTACGACAGTGCAAGACAAAAAATCATTTACAACGGCATTTACAAAAGTGATATAATTAAAAACCTGTACTTAGCTGAAGTCCATCGATGTGCTTTCATTCTGCAGGACAACACAAACACGTCCTCGCCAAAGTCCCGGGGAGGGAAAGAGAGCGGAGGAAAGAAGGACAAAAAGAAGAATCAGCAGGCAAAAGAGAAAAAGACAGTTTCTCTGCAGGACTTCCAGGCTGAAGGCAGTGTAGGTGAGAGAAACCTATTCATCACTCTCAAAAGCTGTGAAACTAGGAGCTTGTGTGCTGCAGTTTGTAGCTCAGTCTTACGTGTATTAGATAATAGTTATATCAGTTTATTTTGTCTCTTTGCAGAACATCCAAGTAAGAAACAAGAGAAAGAGGTGAGCAAAAATATGTACTCTATATCTATAAAGCAACTATCTATAAATAAATATGTACAGGTTTTATTCTGGGTTGAATATTGTAAGTGATATGGCCCACAACTTGAAACACTGACCACATTCCCATCCAGGACGCCAAAGCAGCTAACCTGGCTCTTGGAAACGGGCAGGATGAGAGATTTTTTAATAAGCTGGAAGATGACGTCAGTCGCATTATCCAACAGGAAAAAAGACGCGAGCAATACGCTACCAGTCCGGGACAAGAAGTCAACACGTCCACAGAACACGAACCGGTGAGTGGACAGACAATAAATACTGTTTGTTTGTTTTTTAAGGTAACACTTAACTGTCTTAAAGATGTCTGTGTGCATTTTTTCCCAGCATTTGAGTAAATGCAAAATCATTCAAGTATAGTTTGTTTTTCTTTACTCTGCCGTTGTTAGTGGAAAATTAAAAAATCTGTATAAAATTGTCTCGATTTGCTCTTTTTCTCCCCGTCATTCCTGTCAGGACCCCCGGGCAGAGCAGCTGAAGTACGACCTGGAGAAGAAAGACCAGGAAATCGATAAGCTAAAAAAGACAATCTCACAGTGGGAGGTCAGCAGTCATGAGCAGTTACTCATTCTGTAATTTCTTTGGCAAGTTAGAACTTCACCTATAGTGTTTGGTAAATTGATGCTCTTTTGTTCAGTGGAGTATGAGACTGTAGCCTGCAGCTCTCAAACTAACAAGCTCCCTGCGGCTGCTCCATTTTTTACAATGCCTCATATTTTTAAAATGAAAGATAAAAATAGACCAGATAATTTCAACAGAAAGCTACATTGCAGTACATAAGACACTTGTTTCAAAGCTGCATTATGCAGGATCTGTCATGATTCAGAGTTGGCTGCTGGTCAAAATGGAGCGGCAGAAGAAAAAATCTGAGAGCAGAAGAAGAAATTCCGGCCTCAGATGTTCCATGCGAACAGAAGCAGCGTGACCACAAAGACTAGCGTTTTAGCTGGAGAGCAGGAAATCTAAGCACAAGCAGGGTATATTTGAGTGCAAGCGCAGGCCTTTCAGTGAGAGCATAATAAAATCTTCTCTTTGCATTTCTGTTGTGGCAAAAAAAACTATTTAAAAGCAACAGAAAAAAATGTTTTCTCCTTCTCAAACTCTGCAGGTGAAATACAAAGAGGTGAAAGCAAGAAATTCCCAGCTGCTTAAAATGCTCCAGCAGGGAGAGAGTGAGTTGAATGTCACTAGATAGCTCCTACCTTCCTTCCTCCCTTCCTTCCTTCTCTGTCTCTTTCCTCTTCTGTTCTTTCTCATTGAATAATGAATGTGGTCTGACTGACTTTTCTTTTAATGATGTTTCTAATCACTCTCCCTCAGTGAAAGATAAAGCAGAAATCCTTCTACAGGTAGAAGAGCTACTACACATAAAAGAAGAACTGTCATCACAGGTGTGTTATCGTGAGATAAAATGAAGAGAGGAATATGTCTCAGTCAGATATTTGCACATTTATGTGAATTTTAATAATTGTTATCTTTAGGTAACATTACTGCACGGTGCCCTTGAGCAAGAAAGATCTAAAATCAAAGGTCTGCAGTCAGAACAACCAAAACATCAGGTGAGAGCACAAGGAATTACTTAGTGTCTAATTTTCTTGGTTTCTTCAGTCGTGTGTGTGGAAATTAAATGTTCCCATATCCAGGGAGAATCAGGGCTCTCTGTTAATAATCTAAACCCATGGTTCATCAGCCTTTAAGATGAGTCCATATTTACTTTTGCTGATTAATTGTGGAATCAAAAGTTGCTGCACCAGTTGCATAATTCAAAAGGGTTATTTATAAGTATGTAAATCACAGAACCATCTCGTGTTCAGATCGTGTGTGTGTGTGTGTGTGTGTGTGTGAAACAAGCAGACTATATGCCCACTGTGCACCTGCCTATATGGGTGCATATTACCATCTTTACAAATTGGCCTTAAAATCACAGTTTTCATTCAGTGCCATTTCAGACCAGGTTTTTGTTTGTCTGTTGCACAGTTGCTTTCTGTTGACTCTAGACAACAATGCTCCAACATGGTAGTTGCAGTGCATTTGCCTTTTAAACATCATGAGTGCCGAATATAAAAAGCACACACTTGTCATACTTTAAAGTAATTCTTTTCTTTCTCCTTCTCTGTGGTTGACAGGGAAACAAAAAGGGGAGAAAGGGTTCAGAAATGGATCTATGAAGGCTCCAAATGGAAAAGATCTGAATAATAAAATCAAACAGATGAAGAAATGAAGAAAAACATTGCTGTCATGATAAGAGTTCTGTACTAAATTTTGTTGGTTTTTTTTTTTTTAGTTTTGTTAGTTTCTTTTCCTAGAATATAGTTTTTCCTGTCAAGCATTTTTTACTCTTCCTTTTTTATATTTTTTTTTTTAGCTTGAACTCTGTGTCAGCATATAATGCATGCCCCCTTATTTACGCACACACACTCCAGGATGTATAACGCAGCTGAACAAGAATTAAAGAAACTTTTAAAAGTGACTTAAGTTTTTAAAGGTTGTGTTGAAATGGTGGCTTTGCACCCACAGCGCTGCCCTCTGCAGGCGTGAGACTGCCACTACATCGAGTATTGTTGAAAGCTGTGTGCCTGACCTTTGTTCGGGTTTCAATGCCAACATGACAGATGGGAAGTTTATGTTTTTATTTTTTTTTCTCACTGTTAAGTAAATAAAATACTTTTCCAGTGAAAAAAAAAATCATCCTGTTTTTTCTTCATATTTTGTTTGGAATGTAAAGATCTTTGAAAAGTGTGCCCAAAATGCAACAGTGCAAAACCAAACTGTACTTCTTCTAAACAATAAAAGCAAGCATTTATGATCAAACTGATAAAAACCCAATTCAGACTATTAACCTATTTTTCAGATTTAAAATATGAGCCATTTGTAGTGAGTTGTTTTTAGGTTAAATAAATTGTCTTAAGAATTGCAGAATTATTTGTACGTTACTATTTCTTAAAATGTGATAATGAGATAACTAGATCTGTGTAAAGATCTGTCAATTGTCAGCAGTAACACGTCACCATAATATTTAGGTTTATAAACACCACCCTGCACAGTCGGTCAGTAGCTGCCAAACCTGCACACAACTTTCTGCAGAGTCACGGGACAGAGGCGCTCCTCCTCCTCCTCCTCCTCCTCCTTCTCCGGGACTGCGCTGCGCTGCAGGTCCGGTCGTCTCCATCGTCAGCCCGGACTGAGAGATGTCTGAGAGGGATGAGCTGGGAGCATCGGGTGCATGTCAGAGCAGCACCGACATGATCCATGTTGCCGTTAACAGTGTCAGTGAGAGTAAAGACTTCACTGTACCACGCGACTGCACCGTCAGACAGGTGGGTCACTGAACCACGTAAAGCTGCGTAGAGATTTGTGCGTAAAGATGGTGGGTTACCTCACCGGCGTGTTTGTCAGGATTACGCAGCTATTTTTTATGCTTCATTGATATCTTGTTGTTGGCTGGCGTGTGTTAGTGTGTGTTTTGTGTGTGTACAGCTGAAGCGGGATCTCTCAGATCGTGTGGGGGCCTCAGCAGAGCAGCTCCTGCTGATCCACTCAGGCCGAGTCCTCACAGAGTCTCAGATCCTGAGTCACCTTAAAGGAAAAAGCGATTCAGTCAGCCTGTGCATGATCCGAAGGTACACACACACACACACACACACACACACNACACACACACACACACACAGAGTTGTGCCTCTAACTACTACTCTCCTAACCCTGTCACTTGAACCCAATCTCAACCTAACCCTAAAACATGTCTTCACCTTAAAATGTAATCATCAACATTACTTGGAGACTTGATTTGTGTCCTCACAACATGAGTAAATGCTTTGTACAGTTTTGTTATTCACCCATTCACACATACATTCATACAGTGCATCTATGTGCAGCACTTTCACACCTTCATACACTTTCAGCACAGCCATCAGGTGGCGATTTTGGGTTCAATATCTTGCCCATAGATACTTTGGCAAATGGAATGAGGCAGACTGAGATTGAACCAAACATCCAACCTTCTGACAAGTGAATGACCCGCTTAATTTCATCACACACACACATTTATTTCTTCTCAGGCCTCAGTGTTCCTCTGCTGCCGCAGATCTGTCCTCAGAGACGAACCACCAACAGCTCACCGACGTTCTCGACCCTGATCATGACCAACTGACGCCATCTCCCACCTCTCCACTCTGCCTGGGTAAGAACCACAGAACACAGGAACTCACCTCACCTCTCAGTCTCATCTCTCCTCTCTATCTGGGCTCACACTGCTGCTGTGAGGTACTAAGTTCATACTCCAGTGTATTATGGTATTTACATACTCCTGCTCTTTTGATCTGATCTTGGTTCCACAGTGGACAGTCTTGGCCTGGCAACAAGCGAGCCTGGCTTCTTCCCTGCACTCCAGCACCAGATGGAGAAGCAGCTGTTGGACAACCCAGAGATGATGCGCCGTATCCTGGGCAGCCCTTTGGTGCAGAGCTTACTCTCCACCTCCAGCCCCCAGATAACCAGACAGCTCATTCTGTCCAATCCTCAAATCCAGAAGCTCCTGGAGACAAATCCAGAGGTGGGAGACATGCTCAACAACACAGACATCATCACAGAGGTGAGTATTAAGCACTTATTTGTTGAGTGTCAGGGTTTGCTTTATACAGTGTACATGAAATAATGCATCACTTTGCCAAGCTACTACTTCTGTCACTTTGATAGCCAAATATTTTCTACAATAAAAAGGTGCCGGACATCACTACACATATACATTTCCATTAAGTAATTTGAATTTCTACTAAAAAGCATAAACATGGACGTATGGTTCAGGATTTGTGGGTTTTGTGATTTAGTTAAAAGCAGTGGGCGGATGAGGGGGGGGCACCATCCCCTTTAAACCAAAGAGACCCAAAATGTATAACCCTTGATAACCTGTAATTTCTGCCATAGATGAAACCGAGTGGCATCAAAAAGAACGGGACAGCTCTCTTTGCTCACCCACACAAACACATTGGAAGTCTGTCACAGTCAGACTGACCATCAGCAGCACTGGGAGAATTCCTACCTGCTTTGGTGAATGTTAAAACATCCATTAAGATGTTATGGTCCTCGGCAGGCAGGTAGGATTCGGCATAACCTCGGTAGATACGTGCTATTTGGATTCACACAACAAGTATATAGTTCTCTATGGCAGGAGCATCTTCCCCCACACCCCTGATAGCATAATATTCACACCAAGTTTCATGAAAAAACCTTTTTACTTTTTGATTGTTAACCGTCTGGTTAAAAATGTGTTATTTTCACTGATATGACCATGCTTTAATTATTCCCTTCTTAACTGATTCCTCAGATCCATGTTTCCAATATCTTCTTGCTCCTCCTTCCAATTCCAGGTGCTGGAGCTCGTCAGAAAGCCTGACATGATAGAGGAAGTGATGCGTAATGAAGACGAGTTGAAACCGGAGCAGAACAACCCTGAACTCATCAATGGTGACTCTGATGGCTTTGAGAAGACTGAAGCAAAAATACAAGAACATGGTCTCAATCTATCACAGGTACAACTCTGAAAATAATATTTCCCTGAATTATCTTTTTTTCATGTATTTAACCTGTTGTTGAGTTTTCTATTCATGCTCTTGTCTCTTTTATAAATCCAGGCAGGAGGACCCCGAGTGGTGACTATCTCATCTGGGAATCAACAGGCCCCCAAAGGAGAAGGAAACCAGAGCCCGTTCTCCAGTCACTCCACAGATCCTCTCAGAAAACTGACTGCCACACCCACAGCTGATCCAAACCCTCAGAGCACTGCCGCAGGCAGGGAAATGCACACCCACACCCCTACACGAAGAGAATCAGTAGTTCATTCCTCTGTCTTTTTACAAAAACAATCCAGCAATTCTAGAATAATAACATACCTGTATAATTTCTCTGGATTTCTTTGTTTTACCTTTTTTGGTCGTTGATGTATTTTTTTAAAGGTGTTCATCATTTTCAGTCAGCTAAGCTATAATCACTTAAATCAATTTCTTTCTGCTTTTATTAATGTTTTTCTCCACAGCTTCAGGCATGCAGTCCCTGCTGGAGGAGATCACAGCCAGTCCTGATCTGATGGAGAGCCTGCTCTCTGGGCCGTACGTCAGCAGTCTTCTGAACTGCCTCGGCCAAAACCCAGATCTGGCTGCACAGGTGAGTCTGACATGTAACACAATTTATAACAGAGCATCTGTTTTTTTGTTGGTTGGTTTTTTTCTTGGCAAAAACTACTAGATGGATTACTATTTCATTTTATAGTTGGTGGAAGGAAGCAGTGTGTGTCAGTAAAGAACCATTAAATTGAGGTGTGGATCCAGGATTGGTGTGTTTTTCCACACTTAATTTCTCAGGGAATAATTCATGGTTATTGACAAAAGAAATCAGGCACGTAAGGGGACTGATAATGTGAATGCGCGTAATTTGGTGCAGGTAAGATTATCAGATGATTTTTTAAATATGAGTTTCTAATGTGGATTGCTGGGCCTTGGCTGAGTGTACACACCTTACAGTGTACGCAGAGATTTGAAACCGGGCTGCAATCCCTCCACCTTCACTTGTTAATGTATCCTGATAATTTCTCTTTCAGATGCTGCTGAGCCACCCTTTGTTCTCTGGGAATCCTGAGCTGCAGCAGCAGATGAGACAGCAGCTCCCTCTCTTCCTTCAACAGGTTTGTTTATTCTCTGTACTCCTCTGCCATCTTGGACATATATAATGATATGAATGCGGCGTATTTGAGGCTTTCATTGTTGAATAACAACACATCTGTTTTAAAGGCCCTTGTACAGATGAATAATCACAACAGTTGACAGAGTTGTAATCTGCTGCAGAGAATTCACTGCACAGTCTCCACTGCTCACAGTTGTACATAATGTGCAGATGCAGAGTCCGGAGCTGCTGTCGGCCATGTTGAACCCTAGAGCCCTGGAGGCTCTGCTACAGATCCAGCAGGGACTACAGACTCTGGCTGCAGAGGCTCCCGCCCTCATACCTGCGTGAGTAAAAACCACAGACTGTATATAAAGATGGATGACTTGACAGCTTCATAAATGTGAAGCCAAAGCGTCTTGATCAGCCCCTGGTGGCTGGCTGCAGTATAGTATATAAACCCTGCCTCCTCCATGTTAAAGGATGAGACATGGGCCAAAATAAAAAGTCAAAGTATATGTTTAATACATTTTTGTCAAAGATGGTTTCTGTCATTATAGGTCGTTCTTATCACACTGATGTATGTACAAGTGTTTATTTTTCAAGTCATTTTGGTTTTAATTCGTTATTTGCAGGGTGAGACATCATGATTGACAGCTGAGACTAACTTGAGATTGGTCGAGATAGTGTATCATCTGGACTTCAGTATCACAGCGTTCATACGCAGGATATTTTAGCTTCATTTCTGGATAGTGGGGGGACGTTGAGATGCATCGTCAGTACAGCATGTACATAACAAACTCGAACTAAAGAGACTTTCTGGTTAAACATTTGTATTTTGAAAACACTTGGGTGACGCTGCAAATCTTCCTGCAGGGCTGGGATCGGAAACACTGGAGCTAGTGTTGATGATGCCCCTGAGCTCACATCCAACAGCCACTCAGGAAATTGTCCTCAGGTTGCCACGGTGACAGAGCAGCAGCAGCAGTTTGTGCAACAGATGCTGCAGGCACTGGCTAATAATGGGGTACCTCAGAGTTTCTTTCTAACCTTGTTATCTGCTTCTGTAAATGATTTGATGCCAAAGGCACACTGGAGACACCTCTTTACAAAACAGGGCCTTCTTAATATTATCACAAACGGGAAGTACTGTTTATGAGACATTTCCATCATATTGAACTTACCGAGGTTCAGTGAAGTACACATTTTACAAAGCATCCACACAAACAGAACCCCACTTAAAGATTTAATTGCATGCAGTCTATTAGTCACAAAACATGTGTTTTCCACATCTAGCCGCATCCAGATGTGATGGTCAGGTGAGATTTACACATTTCAACCCATAGAGGTCAGTAAAGCTACATTGTTCTTCTTCTATCTGTGTGTTTCATAACCAGAACAGAAGTTAGTGTAGTTGCTATGGTTTCAACAAACATTTGTTGACAGTGGTCAAATAAAGTACACTAGATATACCGAGGACCCATTTCTTATCAAGATTCAGATAAACTAAATAGACTGCATCATCTCCAGAAAGACAGAAAAGAAGAGATATAGGTGGAGTTTTCACTTTTTTACATTATGCCCCCCCCCCACCAGAGGCACACAATCTCTTCTCTTCTCTATTTTCTTCAATCATGTTAATGTAGTGGTCACAATTGGAACAACCTCCTGTCTCATCCTTTCAGGTCCATCGTGAGGAGGCTGAGCTCCAGGAGGAGCTGGAGCACCTGAGCTCAATGGGCTTCAGAGACAGACAGGCAAACCTTCAGGCCCTCATCAGCACAGGAGGAGACCTCAGCACTGCCATACAACATCTGCTCGGGCTCTGACACGCATTCAAACACACATACAAGCACATTGATCTGTGCGGACCCCACTGTGCATTCAGGGTATACACATGTTCTGACATTTGCACATAAGCACCGTCACTCAAACATAATGATAACTGATAAGCTGCTTTACAAAAAATTAAACATGGAAGCCATATTTATATTCCTGTACTTCCATAGTTTTATTAATTCCTTAACTTTCCATACTAACCTGTCGTGTATACTCAGTTCTAGTATTAAAGTCACACAGAGGTCAAGGATGGGGGGTGCAGCTTGCTGACCAGATTGAAAAGCCCCATGAGACAATTTTGTGATTTTTGGCTCTATAGATAAATATAAAATACATAATACAAATAAAAACAGACTTTATTTAGTTGTTATGATAGGACTTAAACTTTTGTTCTTCCAGACTCAACACTTTGGGTTAATATAAAGTGGAAAACTCACTTTTAAGCTGTCAGTGACCTCAGTACAGCTACTTAAATCATCAAACGCTTAAGTCTTGTAGCAGTTGCATTGATATTCAGAGGTAGGTCATATAATATAAATCCCTGTGCAGACACACTATGACGTTCAAGCCTCTTTTCATCTTGCCACCTGGACTGAGTCTAATGAAAACTTTTCACACCCAGAGGAAGTCAGATGTCCTGGACGCTGACGGAGGACTCACTCTCACAGTCTCAGTCCACAGATTGAATCAGGAGCAGCATCTTTTCTGTTCTGTTTTTCTTCTCTTCTATCTTGTCCACCACAGGCTGTACAGTGGCCACATGCAGCAGATGATTCATAAAGTTTGTCTCCAAAGGCAAAAGCTTGAAAGATGTGTTCAAAATGGAAAGCTTGACTTTGTGCTTGAATGTCAATGTTTATCTTGAGGCTGCACACAACTAATCCTCTCAACACACTCTCGGGGAAGTGAGTCCAAAACCTGAAAAAAGAATGACAACACTGTCTATGAGTTCCTTTGCTTAGGTGAGTCATTTCACAAAAACCCTCTTTGAAGAATCTTTCTCGACAGTGACCAACAGTGTCTGGGGTTTTGAAGTTATTTTCCTGAACCCCTTATTACATAGTGTGTCATATGGACTGTGTTTATTTTGGGTTCTCTTTCATTAATTTAACAACAACTGAGCAGCATACTGCCTCTCATCTGTGGATCTGATACACAATCAGTAAAAAGTCTTGAACACTCTGTTGTCTTTTTTTAACTTCTCTTTTTGAGTCTGTCAACACAATCATTCTCTCTCACTATGTAAATCTGCAGTTTGAAGTGTTTATTGCAGTGCACAACCGTTTTTTATGATTTATATTGTTTATTAATATATCAACATTTTGTTCTTTTACAGTTAAGCTGTTGATATATTAATCTATAAAATGTCTATCACAGCTCCCCATGTGGCTTTAACTCGACTATTAGTCTAACAACCACCTGACGATCCGCTTATATTCATATAAAACAGAGAGAAGGAAGAAATGTTGTATGTTGTATCCAGAGTTGGTGTAAAGATCAACAGTCTTACTAAAGATAACAGGTCCGCCATCTTGATTGATAAAAACACAGTCATTTATTAAAAAACTGATAAATTATGACTAGTACATTATGAATTGTTATATGCCCTTCAATGAAAACCCTTCAAATATGTATTTTCCCATCATTTTCTATTGAAGCTTGAACTTTATTACTATAAGCACCAGGGGGCAGTGGACTTCAGTTTATATTAGTTATTTTGATTTGGATGGTTGTAATTATGAAGCTACAAAACCTAATAGTTTTAATCTGAAACAAATCTCATCTATAGCTGTGTAAACGGTGCAGTTTATAATTACTGAAACTGACTTTCACTGATCCTGACTCTGATGTGATTACTTAATAAAATCTAACATCACAAGCATCAAGTCATATTCAGTGGTGGCACTTTGCTATGAATGGGGACAATAAGATATGTGTGGGAGTGTGAGGGCTGCTCACGGTTTTTGATTCCTGCATTTGTGTCCTCGCTTTCGGGGACCTCGTGGATTAACTGACACACAAGACACATACTACAACATCAGATATGTGTGTGTGATCCACTTGACAACCTGTGTGCATCTGTTGAGGGGGTTTTAATCTCCAGTAGTGTGTGTTGCAGTGTGTGTATGTGCGGCGGTTCGTCTGGATGTGTGAGATACCAGAGTAGCCGAGGGGGGTTTCTGGATTAGAAGCTCCTAAAATATTCGAGTTGAGGTTTGAAGATGAGTCACACCAACAAAAACAGCTCGGCAGTGCTGAGTGGAGGGGCGTGCGTGTGCGTGTGTGTGTGTGTGTGAATAGAAATAGAGAGAGAGAGAGTGCAAATAAGAGGACATTGTGCTAATGGTCACTTTTCTAAAAGGGGATCGATAAGCTCTGACCTGATGTGACCGTTCATATGGAAACTACATGATGTTGTGAGAAGAGTTAAACCGGCCTCACAGTGATGTGTAGCAGGAAGCAGTATTTTGCTGGCATTTGATGTCAGAGCATGAAAGTTGCTTTGACAGACTACAAAATGATATAAAAACAGTTGCCTGGCACTAAACTAATTCATCTACTGATGAAACTTTGGTAAAGCTGCAAAACTTTTCACACGTTTTTAAAATCGGGTAAGAAACCTGTGCTGTTGAAGGTAAAACTAAAGATAACACAGATTCAGTGTTAGGTGAAGCACAAGTACTAGAACCAAAACATGAGTTTCTACAGGCTTGTGATTTTCCTGTCACCACTCACTAATGTATAAGTCATTTCTTAAACAAGCACCATTTTCCTTGGCTGTGAAGTGATAAGTCAATAAATCTATGACTCTACATAACATTGAATCACTACCAACTTTGAATTTAATCATTTTTCAAGCAAAAATTCGATTATATACAATCATCAGAGGAAACATCAGGTAACTACCATTGTCAATAGGCTTCATCCTGTTGGCACCAGAAATGCTTGTATACAATTTCAAGGAAATCCATCTAATAGGTGATAAAATATTTCAGTCTGGACCCAAGTGGAGGACGAACTGACAGACCAACATTACCTGAGAACACCTGAGAACCTGATGATGATGATGATGACTGCCTCTCTGTCTGTGTTGATTACAGCATCACTGGTGACGACTTGAGGCCGATAATGTGCTGCTCGACCTCCATGCCTAGATCAGTGACGCTCCTCCTGATGTCCAGAGACAGCACGTTCCCTTCATCCAGCGGAGGCTCTAAAGCATCAAACTGGGAGCGCAGCAGGTCTGCTTTCATGTAATGTCCCCTGCGGGCCACCATCCTCTGGTGAATGAGACTGTAGTCTCCATGTAGGAAGAGGAAAAAGACATCAGGAGTGACGGGGGGCAGGACGTCTTGGTCGAGGGCTCTGGAGCCATGCAGAATGATCTGCCTGTAGACACGCTTCAGGGCGGAGCACGTCACAAGAGCATCGGAGCCTGAGCATCTTTCTCTGAGGTGAAAACACACATACACACTTGTATGAACAGAGAAATGTAGGGAGCACAAGGAGAATGTTAAAAACAACACTGGGGAAACTAAACCTTACATGAACCATGGTCACAAACAGCTAAAGACTTGAAGGAGGGGGAAAGAAAACAAGGGATACAAGAGAAGAGAAGAATACATGTGACTGAGTAGAAGAGTGAAGGAAAAGAATGTCTTTGATGTCGCCGCAAATGTTGTTTAAGAAAGCGGTGGCACACTTTCCACTCCTCCGTCACCTCTTCTCCACACTCTCACTCACTTAATCTGTATTTACTCGCCCAAATTTCCTTCCCTCGCTCTCTGGTTTTCATCTCAATTTTCAAAATCATCTTTGATATTTTTGATCTTCTCCAACAATTTCACGCCTGCGTATCCGCACCTCGCTCCTCGGCTCCCTCTCTCTGAGCTCATCATCTTCTTCATTTCTGCTACTGAGGGTGTGAACGTAATATAAATATGCAGCAAATACCGCAAGTGTATATATACACACATAAGATATTAGTACCTCTGAATGACTTCATGTAGTCGCAGGAGCCAAGGAAATCTGTCCTGAAGAGACAAACAACAACATGAATGGATTTATTAATATCGTAAACAGCGTACAACAAGACGGTAGCATAAATATTTTGGATATTCAGATATTAGACAGGAGTGAGTTGAATAAACAGCACAATGGAATAGTTTACTTTTAAATAGATATTTATTTTTCTTGTTAGATTTATCATTGTTTAAGGAAAACAGTTCTTAACATTTTATTATTTAAATTCCTTATTTTTGCCAGCGATTTACATATCAGGACAAGGGCAGGAGGATTTATTCAGTTGTTCAAAGATTGAACAAACTATAAGAACTTTTCGGGAGAGGTCATTTTCAAGGTAGACAGGACAGGAGATAAAATAAAACTCAGTTATGCTTCCCAGAGGGAAACAAAAGAACATTAGTGTGTCATTCATTCAACGCCTCCACAAATTCTGTCCGTACAGGTTTTCACATCTGGCCCAAAATTTGATGGAACACATGTTTCTGAAGGCAGAGAGAAAAATAATCTCTGTAACATTTATTATATCTAACCACTCTTGTATTTTGGGTAGTTCAGGAAGCAACAAGCAGCGTGTAAGAGCTTTTTTTACGAGCAGTTGTCAACACCATTCTCAACATTTTTTAAAAGAGGTGTGTGAACCACTGCGTATTGCACCATCTCCATTATGAGGATCACAGTCGCACGTCATTCCTCATCTCTCTTTCTCTTCTCATGTCCTGTCCTCCCTCTATTGTCTCTGCCTGATAAAGACATATGACTAATGGGCATCGAACTGCCAACAACAACATCCTGGTTAGTGGACAATCCTCTCAACCTCCCGTGCCACAGCCGCCCCTAACATACACTTCTGGTTTCAGCGTTTAATAAACAATCAGGGAGGAGACTTTGAAAAGTAAAAAAATAACCGCAAGCATAGAAGCAGTGAGCAGAACGAAAGACGTGGTCCGAGTGGATCTGATTATTCTAAGTCTCCAATATTTTCTGTTGAATGGACTCAACTCAGAGAGACTTTGAAAGAACTAATCAGGGAATCAAACAGAGATCGAGCAGTCTGCAGCACAAAGACATATTTCATTACACTGCTATCAGAAGTGGACTCAGTCCTAGTCCAGTTCATTTCACACAGCCTTTAACAGGAAGAACTGAAGTGGAATCAGAGGAATCACGGTCTCTTACATCCTGACATCTGAGCAAACTCATGTCCTGCTCACTTATGCCAGCAGCAACCTGCCAACTCCGATCCTGGCATGAAAGACATCTCCACACCACAGCCTGACAGTGATCCTGAGTGCACCTCTCTGCATCACTTCAGCATTTATTCTAAAACTGAGAGCTGCTGAAGATTCTTTTAAATACGCCAGAGCGTCAGACAGAGCAGGTCCCAGGGTTGCTCCCAGCTGATCGGAGCAGGTTTCTGAGTGGGAGGTTTTCATTGGTTGTGTGGGCAGCATGTGTGCAGATAGTGAAAGTCAGCATGGACAGAGGAAGGAGGAATATTAAACAAATAATAGAAAGATACACATTTTGAATTGTCTGCTCTGGGATTCTGTGAACTTTCTCTTCCATCTCTGTTCATTAAAGGCGTTTTATATAAAGACATGAGCTCTGTAAAATGGGTCTGGACATTTTCTGGAGTTTGCCTTTCACATGTGAAGAATGCAGCAGGAGACCTATACTGACCTCGTCTGTGAGCGGCTCACCCTGAGCCATCTTGTCAACGTTCTCCTGTGGGTGGAAATCATCCCCTTCATGCAGTGTCCAGCCCAGCTGATGGATGGAAGCACACAGGGAGGAGTATCAAGTCGTGTGTGTGCACGAGCATGAATGGAGGAGTGGGAGTCTTAGTGTGTAGAGAGTTACCTTTTCTGAAAGATAAGCCCCGAAGCTGCTTCTGCATTAGAAAAAGAACGAGACATAAGTGATACAGGGGAATATTTGAACCTGTGCACCCACAGATCATCATCAGATTGGTGTTATCACAGTTATCTGAGGTCGTACTATTTCCATCAGTGATAAAGAGCAGTCAATTGTTTTATCATAACACACACACAAACCAGGAAGGTGAACATTAAAGGCATGTAATATCATTTTATATCATTTTATATTGAAGTAATTATATAAATTCTGAAAGACGTGTTTAAAACAAGTGGATAATCTTCTTACTCTACAGCCTGAGAGCTGTGCACAGGATCTTATGGTCACTCCAGTATATGGTGTTTATTTCATGTTTATTTCATGTTTATTTCATGTTTATTTCGTGTTTATTTCGTGTTTATCTATTTATTTAGTGAGCAGGCGTGGAGTGTTGATTAATCCTGTAATTCAGTTAATCCCCTCATATCCATATACCCTGTAAACAGAGCGAGTCTTTCTGTTGCTTAATGGTGAAAAGTCTTGAGTTCAGTCTTTTCTCCAATTGGACAAGTCAAACTTGTTGCCATGGAAATACAGAATACATTTAAATTTCAAGAATTATCAAAAGGCACCACTTCACCACAGGATCAACACAACGCTCTGCTTCAAAAACTAAATCATTACAGACAATGGACAAATAGATACACTGATCGTTATTTCCCAGGAATTATACACCAAGGGAGTAAAAACCTGAAACTGACATCTTTTCTGTTTTAAACCAGGATTGTAGTGTTGCAGACATACAACCATTTTACAACTCAGTTCATTATTTAAATCATTGTTAACAATACATATGGTATCACCTTCTTACTTGTGGTGATTACTTGGGTTTTGGTTGTTTGTTTAAATAAAACAAGAGACTTAAGGAGGAAATGATTCTGACATTTTATTGACTAAATAAATGACTGATATATTGAAAAAGAAATCAGCAGATTTTTAGATGATGAAAATAAGTTAGTTGCAGCCCTACTGTAGTATTTTTGGATTTAGTATATAAGTGACCTTGTAACAGATACTGTCAAAGTGTGTACAGTTATGTTAAGTGACATTAATAGTTCATAACCACCTGTGCGTCACAGACAGTTAATTAATATCCTATTTACAATTATGTTGGTTATGTTAATCTCAATGTGCTTTCTGTTTCCTTAATAACATTTATATAGTAGTAAGTAGAGCATCGACAGTAAAGATGGTATACTTACTTTCCACAGCCTGAGACTCCCATTATGATGTAGATCATCCTGTCTGAGGATCTTCTGTCCTGAACTGGATTAAAGAATGAAGAAAAATGCCTTAATAATATTTGGCATAAATCTGCATGATCAACAAATCTTATGCATCTCAACATCCGAACATCAGAACCACAGAGATACTGTATATGGAGAAATAATAACAGTGCCTGTGTGTTGTTAACACAAGTAGGATTTTACCGTTTGGTTGAAGATTAGATAAAAGTTCACTAGTCACCCAAGGATCCTATATGAAGTGGCCTCAAATTAAAATGAGCTCCATCTTTACCGGTTGATTTAAAACAACAAATAATATGAATTGTTGAATTATCTGCATGAGAACCTTTGATAGAACACTTTGATAGCATTGTTTTTGTGCTTTGGGACTTTTACTTGTATTTCAACACAGTGGTATTTTGATATTTGCCTCATGAACACTTCTTATCAGCATCTTAACATATCGGTGCAATAGGTCCATAACTGGAAGCTGTTAAACTAAAGCAGTGTCACTGGCTGTAGTTGAAATGTAAATGGCATGACAGGAAAACATCCAGGAAACGTCCATTTGCAGAATAAATACATTCATTCCACCTTTATCGCTGCAGAGACTGAAGTGAGAGGCAGTGGTTCGTTCGTGAGAAAACTCCTGAGCTGGTGTAGAACAGACTCATGAGACGTTCACAGACATTATGTCTGTTTTGTTCACTGACTGACAGAACAACAGCTCTTTTGATTCAGGTTTAATCAAAGCGAACTCGTCTCTTACCTTCAGAATCACATGACTCCTGTCAGGCATGGCCGCGGCTTCCTTTTCTTTTAACTACGTGATGACGTAAGACGCACGTCAGCTACGCGCCCGGTTAAAGGGGCCGCGCTGTGTTTGGTTCAGATCAGATCGTTTCTTATATTTAATCATTATTGATTCAATAAAAGAATCTGATTCAAATATCTTATTCTTTAAATGGCAACCGTTTGTGTTTATTGATAACATGATTGATCACATTATTATTAAAGAAATGATACAAAAGAAATACAAACAAAGAGATTTGGTGATTTCTACTTTTTTAAATCCTTTAGGTAGCCACCATAGACTGTACATAAAGAGGTAGCCACCATAGACTGTACATAAAGAGGTAGCCACCATAGACTGTACATAAAGAGGTAGCCACCCACAGATATTTACATAGGGTCACATAGAAAATGCACAAGTTGACAAAACAGATAAATACAACATGTCATGTTTTTTTCCACCCACGTGATAAGACATAATTAATATATTAACACTTTTACAAGACACCTATCTTTTATCTTAGCATTCTCTTTCATCATCCATCATATTTTATTGTGATATTGTAACTGTATTGTTAAACCCTTTGCTTTGCTACTTTGCATGAAAGGCATTGTATACATGATATACATATAAATATAAACTTTTCTGATCAATGATAATTAAGTCTATTTGATTAAGGGACGTTAAAATGAAAAATCTGGGGGAAAACATGAAGTTGAAACATATTTCAAATTCTACAGGGAGGGAGATTTTCAGGTGACACATGTGGGATCATACAACTGCAATGTGAAGGTTTATGGAGAAATGTGGAAGGAGAGAAAAATAAGTGGGGGGGGGAGAGAGGGATAATAGAGAGAGAAGAGATAGGGGAGAGGACGGAGGGGTGAGAGAGGGGAGGAAAAGCCATCCTCCCTCCTCGAGATCCATCAGTGTGCAGCCAGGAGTCGGATGCGAGCTCTCCCTCCTCCTCCTCCTCGCTCTGTTGCATCCATCCATCCTCCTATCCGCCCATCCATCTCTCCATCCACATCCAAGGGCGCCGCAAGAGAGGCTGACAACAACTCGACTGAGAGGCACATACATGCGTGTGCGCGTGCGTGCATGCATGCGTTACTCCTCCGACCGTCCGTGCGTGTGCTTGTGGATCCGCTGACATGAGGAGCTGAAACTGAACCGACACAAGGATGAAAATGCTTCGGTTCCGCAGCCCCAGCATCCGCTCCCTGGACCAGGAGGTCCTGTGCACGATCCGGCTCCTGGACGACTCCGAGATCTCCTGCAGCATCCAGGTGAGACGACCCTCACCCAGCTCATGCATTGTGTAATTACTTCAGATAACAATCACGTGGACGCAGCACATTCGGCTGAATTATACTCTCCACATCAAAGGCTGCAACATGCCCGCATCCTCACACACCAATTCAGCCTATTGTTCTTCACAGTTTCCATGCTGCTGTGATTTACGGGAAAGGTCGCATGCTTGGCTCCACACACCGCCTGTATTGTGCGGGGGGGGGGGGGGGGGGGGGGGGGGGGGGGGGGGGGGGGGGGGCATATGCAACAGAAATCCCTGCATCAGTGCTGAGACCAGGCAAGATGAAGTTGACTCAGGATGAAGTTTGAGGCAATGATGGAGCTGCATGGGTGTGGTGGCTGATACCAGAAGAGCTGGTGACAGGGGCAGAGAACTCTTCTGTTTGGGTTATTGATCGTGTGAAGCTGTGTGTCTGCAGGGAGAGAGGATGATACGTGTTGTTTCCACCACATCGTCTTCAAGTTCCTCTGCATTGAAGCCAATAAACCCATACTGTAGCACTTTGCTTTTAAGTGGCTGCAGCTAAGGCCAGGTCGTTCTTATAGATTCTCGAAAAGCAGACGACTTGGAAACCCAAAGGTTTTACAGGAAGACAACACATACACTGCAAACACACTTCAAGTCCACAATTAGTATTTATACGCAGAATATATATATTTTAATGCATTACATCAGACTATACTGTAGCCGTAAGACATAAGTGTTTATTAATGAATTTTTCAACGACTATAACTCCTGTTTGTGTCTGTAAGTGGAGGCTGGTGAATAAATAGGATGATGAATGACCATTTAGTAAAACACAGTTGTGGTAAAAGACATAAAATGTCTTTGCAGTATAAATTGTATTTGTTGACAAATAGTGCTCATTAGTAAATACTTATGATGTCCTGTACCAGTTCTTATAAATGCTGAATACAACAGGGAAAGACAACAGGCTCACAAGAGAGTTTTAATTCATTTTTAATCTTTTCTTTCATTCAAAATCACTCAGTGAGCTACAGTACTTTTTTATTGACTCAAAGCAAGTACAACCCCTGGACTGCAAAGGTACTTCTTTTCATGAATTGTCATTGAAAGTTGCTTCGGATATTTTCCGCAGAATAAAATGTCTGGAATATCTACGAATGAGAACATTTACGATCCGAGCAGCAGAATCCACAGTGGGAAATTGAGCGTGTTGATGATATTTCGAACACATGATGGAAACTGGAAGAGGAGGTGGCATACATGAAGAAGAAAACGACAAAGTTGCTGATGTGAATGGAGAGATGAGGACAGATGCTGAAATTCTCATGCAAGTTGCAATTTTACACCATGTCCTGCTTCCTGCAAGCTCCACCCAGGCCCCACCCCTCTCCTGACAAACTCCTAAAAATGTCAGGGCCCAATTTTCCGGACATTTTCCAGAGTTCATCTCTGGAAAAAAAGCTTTATAATCCATCCCAGTGTGCCAAGCAAGGAATGAAACATGCAGGAGCATCTATTTCAGAGATGTTTGCATTGACGCAGACTCCTGAGAGGGAAGTTGTGTTCTTAGTTTACTTCTAGTATAAAATCAGAGCGTTGGTGTGAGATTAAGATCATGATCTGACCAGGATTAGACTTTGATTTAAAGTGTTGATCTCTGACATGCGGCCTACAGCTCAATAACTGCTGTTTTCCTTTTTGAGTGGCTTCTGTGAAGTTGCCTTCCCAGAACTGCAGCTCTGCTCTGTGGTTTTCTGATAATTATCCTGGCAAAATTAGCTGTAGATCATTATCTCTGACCAGACATGAAGTGTTGGATCTCTGCTGCTTGGGTTAACTTTAGCCTCCACCTCAAAACCTAAGTCCAACCAGTTAGAAGATGTACAGGTAATGAAAACAGACGTGAAGCAAATCCAGGTGGAAGGATTCCTGGCTCTATTGACTTATTTGAGATTTGATATTGAAACTGTTTTTGACTGCCTCAACAAAGGAACAAAGGAAAACATGAGTTTCTTTACTTTGCACAAACAAATGAGATCCTGTGGGCCTGCAGTGTAGGATCCTGGGCCCCTCCAGCCCAAAGGTGCAGCTGCTGCCAGAGATGTAAAAGTAATATCCTGTGAATCTGCCAAAGACTGCTCCCATAACTCACACTCACATGTTTAATTAAGGACAGTGCATATAAATGTGCAGTACTATGGAGTATGACTTGTCATTATTTTATTACATTACATCTCCAGCAATGCACCAAATCCCTCAAAGCACCAGCTTGTTGACAACACAGCGAGTTGATTACCGTTAAGAAGCAGCGATGAGTGAACGCAGCTCGTCTCATCCTGAGCCGTCTTCAAAACAAGTTGTCAGTCGCCCTGAAAGAGCGAACACGCTCGTTGCATGTCAGACTAACTGTCCCGTCGATCTCCTACATGTGCCCAATCAATGATTTACCAAACACCATTAAGTGCACAGCAAGGAAAGTAAAGGGGGGAAGGGAGAAGAGAGGTTGTTAATGTTTCTGTGAGTTTCTGTGCTCACAGACGTGTATACCTGTGCTCAAGTCTCCGAGAGCACAAAAGTGTGTTTAACTCTGTGTACCCGTCGGAGGACATTTAAGTGAGACACACTATTGCAAGCTTGTGAATATGAAGGTGTGTGGGCTTTTAGTTGTGTGTCTGTGTATCTGAGTGCGATAAGGAAATGGACAGTTATATTTCTAGCTGACTGCATTTTCCAGGGGCTTTCTTTAATGGCTTTGTGTTCCGGTGCTGAGTTGCTCCCTCCTACATATTTCATGACATCCTGTGCTCCTCATGCTACACTTCTGCCGCTCGACAACACCACTCCTTCTCTCGCCACAGTACGGAGACTTCCACCTCTCACTTTATCTGCTCAGTTTTTGCTTTCTTCATTATCCCTATGTGTCTTTCTCCTGTTGTGTCTGCTCTGCTGCTCCGTGTTGTAGAATATATAGGTCAGGATGATGCCAAAGACTGAACGCCATCATGAACAATCATGTGGTAAAACTGTTCTTGAATTGCACAAGTGAACAGTTTGCTTTAAGTGGGTCTGCGAGCGCCCTTATTTCCTTTAACCTTACACTAAGCTGTCAGTTCTTGACTTTGCATAAAACATGGGTGCATTAGCCAGGTTCCATTGGGGCATGATGTTTTGTGCCGCATGGATTATCCTCAATGAATAAAGACTTAAAATATCTTTGAGAAACACGATAATTGTTTCCACAGCAATAAAGGAAGCAGTTTTACTTGGAATGATGGAATAGGTCATTGTATAATATGTAAAATAGTTCCTTTCTTGGAGTTTGTTTCATCAGAGCAAGTTTTTGTGGTCACATTTTCACATGGTGGATTAACCGGTAAATGAAGCTGTTTCCTTACATACAGCTCATTAATCAGTTTTATGCTGACCAGATATGCCAGCTATATAAAAACGCTTTGGTTCAAAAATAACATTTACAAAATGTCATTACTTGAAACTAACATTGCAAGAGAAATAAAAATAAGTGTAAACACAGCACATCCTTTTTCCAGAATATGCTTTATTATTTAATTTTACAGGGTTTCATATGAATACAGAGGAGTTGGGAGCAAGTGAGTTTTAAAGCAGACCGTTGGTGTGTGTGTGTGTGTGTGTGTGTGTGTGTGTGTGTGTGTGTGTGTGTGTGTGTCAGTCTCCAGGCCCGGGGGCTGAGCGTATCCAGTCTGCTGCTCTCATGTTTAGTCGTAATGTTAAGTCAGACCTGCTGCA